CCAAGCAACTTGCCCTGCATTCGCTGCACTGCTTTTAGTAGTGTGATGGGAGTCGAACGGCATGGATGTATCCGTACTTCTGTCTGTGATTGACGATTGTACACGACATTGAGCGGAGGTCGTAGTTGCAGTGCTCCTGAAGATCAAAGATGATTAGCATCTACACTATCTTTGCCATTGCTGCCAACTTATCCCCATCCTGACTTTCTCCGTGCTTTTCTGGTCCTCCTCCTCTTCTCTTCTTCATCTTCATCTACATCAATCGCTCATTCCCCTCAGTCGTTGCCTTCGTTATCATTGCACACACTCTCGCATCCAGAGCGTTCGTTTGGTGTCACACGGGAAACATCTTCACCGACCTGACCAACACTCGCTCGCTCGCTTTCGCGTCACAATTCGTTACTAGTGTTCTCTCGTTCCCTCTCACGTTGGCTTCACCTCGTCACAAACTCCGCAGAAGCAGCAGACCTACCTTACTGTGCTCAGGTACTGGGCTGCAGTAACCTCGCTGTCCAGGGTCGCCGCTGCACTGCTTGCTTTTTCTCCCTCTTCTTTTTTAGTCTTTTGGTCTTGCTTGAGCAAGGAAGGCACCGGTTCATTTTGTCTAATGAGAAAGGAGAGACCAGGGGTCCCCCTTCTCTCCTAAACCGTTCTGAAGGTCCCACTTTCACTCGAACCCCCCGTGCCTGTCCCCTCCTTCCCTCCCTCTCTCTCCTCCCCAAGCCCAGACGCCCACCACGTCCACCACCATCTCATTCTCACTACCACGACTACCCAGGTATACTCGCTTTTTCCTGAGGTATCGACCAAAACTGACCGGGGGGAAACACTGACACTGGGGCTCCTTCCTTCCCCTAAAGTGCCACAAACCACGCCGGGCGCAATCCACCAAACTGACCAGACGAAGCCTCAACGTCTCCAAATTTAACCCTGTCCACCTACCTGCCTACCTGTCCAGTCCCGCTGTCTGAAGTGCTCTTTTTCCTTCCTGGCCCCAGGTTCCTGAGGTACCTAGCGAGAGAGAGAGAGAGAGAGAGATATCAAGGCACAGCTACCTATCGTTACCGCACTATTACCTGCCTCCACTTCGTCTCCTGCGTCGCACTGAGAGCTGCAGCACACCTCACTCTCGCCTCCTTCACTGCACTAACACCTGCACCCGCCTGGCACACTCAAGGACCGCGACGGGTTTACTACGCCATCGTCCCCAACTCTAAAAATTCCACGCCCCGTCAGACATAAACACGGGCACCTCACAATTCAACCCTCGCGGCCTGCCCCTGACCTGACCGCGCTGCCTCCGACCTCAAAGCCTCTTTTTCCCTCCAACAACCCAATTCACCACCCAGACCGCATACTTTCGCTGGTTGCGAATCCAACACTCCTTCACACTTTGAACCCCATTGCGAGTCGACAATACCTCGACGGGCGGTGGACAGAAACAGAGCATCCTAAATTAAGCAGACTCCCACCCAGCACCTGCTGTCATCTGTCTTTGACGATTCGGCCGTTACCCCTAACCTCAACGCCAACGACCAAAGGGGTAAATCGACTTTCTTCGATACCCCCCAACTTTCGCTGCTATTTCCTTACTTTTCCACAACCACAACCGCAACCGGTCGATCGCGTCTCTTTTTCCAACCCCGGAACAGGATCATTGTCTTGTCAAATCGGCCAGGGGCCCCATCGCCAATCATGGCGAACACGTACGTTGGCATCTATTCTTTAAACCGTTCAGTCCCCTTTTCTTGGGACGCCCACGAGGACCGAGACATTAACTTTGCCATGACAGGTTCGGCTTCGGTGCGGCTATGCGCTCTCTCTGGCACGATCTGACCAGCTACGACCGACGTACGTTTCTTCCCCCCCCCCTAAATGGCCTCTGCAACGCCTGCCTCTATAACAAAAACTAACGTATCTCAGACTCCACGATTGACTCTCCTCACCGAACCGGTCGTCACGTTCCCCTGAATCGCCAGAGCGGCATCCTTACTTCCGTCGCGACTGCCTCCGAATCCCGCGCCGATGTATCCTCTCCTTTCGCCGACGATTATAACAGATTCTCGCGCGAGAACAGCTACCAGGGCGGCGGCATGCCCTACACGCCAACTAGCCCCAACCCTTCTGCGCCCTACTCTCCGGGTCTGAGATCTCAATCTGCTCGCCGCGAAAGCCAGCACGATGGCTTTGAGCTACAAAGTCCCGGAGATGTCCCCATGCAGTCTTTCCAGGACGGCTCACCTCCTCCCCCTCCCGTTTCCCACTCGTGGAAGAAGATTGACGCTTGGGCCGAAGAGCACTACCCGGAGCTGTGGGACCAGCTCTGCGAGGGATGCACCGATAACGATCTCAACGAATTGGAGCATCAACTCGACTGCTCCTTGCCCCTTGATGTAAGAGAGTCATTGATGGTTCACGACGGCCAGGAGCGCCTGGGAATGCCTACTGGTATCATCTTCGGCTCCATGTTGCTTGACTGCGAGGAGATTGTTCAGGAATGGGACCAGTGGCGCAAGGTCAACCAGGAATTCCTCTCCGAAGCGGCCTACCAAAGACCTGCCGCTCTCCCCAAGGCCCTCGGCAGCAGCAACCAGGCATCTTCCTCCAGAGAACCCGCATCTCCTGCGGTCGCGAACAATGGTTCTTGGCGTCAGGACCTCATTGCTCGCCAGGATTGCGTGCCCCCCAACGCAGTGCAGCGATCGTACGCCCACCCAGCCTGGATCCCCTTGGTGCGCGATTGGGGTGGAAACAACCTGGCTGTCGACCTCGCCCCCGGTCCCAGTGGCAAATGGGGACAGATTGTTCTCTTTGGTCGCGACTACGATACCAAGTACGTCATTGCCCGCTCCTGGGCTCACTTCCTCGCCATGGTCGCGGACGATCTCTCGTCTGGCAAGTGGTTTGTGGACGAGGAGACCAACGAGCTCAAGTTGCGGGAGTTTAAGGAGACGCGTGTTGAGCCTCCATACTTTGGCATTCTTCGATGGCGCATGGATCAAAAGTACGGCCGCAGAGCCGCGAAGCGCAGATCGGTTGCGCCTACTAACAGAGCCGGATCCCCGGCTGGATCTGGCGCCAACTCCCCGTACACGAGCGCGAGCCCGACATCAGCCGAGCCTAATGGCGAACAACGAGGAAGATCAATGCAACGACTGGGAGGCACTTCTCCGATCGCCAGCCCCATTCGCCCTGGCTATGGCAAGTCCAGCCCCCTGGCACGAGTGGCCGAGGAAACCCCTCTGCCGGAGCTGCAGACAAACGGCCTCAAGCCAACGAAGCTTGTCGAAGTCGAAACCCCCCGGCCGAGCGAAGAGACCCCCAAGGGCTCCCGCGTGTCGTTACTTTCGCACGTCGAGACCGCGGAGGGCGAAGGAAAGGAGAACGCAAACCCCGCTGGCAAGATGAATGGCACCGCCAAGGCCAACGGCAAGCAACCTGAGGTATCGGAGGAGCCGATGAAGGAGATCGAGATATAGAAGGTGTGCAAAACTGGATACGACAGAACGACGATACGGTTTCCCCTATTCTCGGGGTCTTGTTACGCGACAAGGCCCGTCATACAGCAAAACATCGGCGTTTGAGGCGTCCGTGACTCTAATCATCATGAGAGGACGTCCGCAGTGGGTCATACAACATTGAAGACTTTTTTTTTTTCGAGCATCAGGGAACACGGCGGCTGGGCTTATTTCCAAGTCTATTTTCTACTTCTTTTTTCTTCCTTTTTGGGCTCTCTCTGGAAAGGGCCGGGACCGGAATACGTCGGGTGGGCCACTCCCCCATTCTGAGGTTTCTGCAGTCTATGGACATAGCTGCGCGGCATACGTACATTTGCACCAACCTGCCATATTCGGCCAATCTTCGTGGGCGGCCCTACGGCTCTCTTGAAAGGGATGCTGCGGACCACGTCCTCCTAGACGAGGCGAATGGGACGATAATATCCCAGGCTGGAATTGACAGGCGTGCCGGTAATTGTTAGTGTACTATTAGGACCTTTTGTCTACTTCTTTTTATCTCGAGCGCTCCGAGGCAAGGGCGTAGGATTAGTCCTCAATACAGGTTGGCTGTGACGGCCTTGGCCAAATCGTATTCTGTTTCTCGTGTCAGGATGAAAAAGATGGGCTCTACGCCTACGTGCGTATGTTTGGGGTGCAGCGGCATGCGCCCCTCAATTCCTCGTATCCCGTGCTACTGGGACCGATTCGTGTTTGCGGGGTGTTAACGGGGTGTTAACGGGGGTCAACCTAAGCCCGGAACACCACGATGAACTGCTCCGCATCGATCAGATCTACGAAGAAGGGTCCAGGCCGTGTCTTGAAGCATGGAATGTCGTTCATGAGCACGGGTGCAGGCAGAGTCATGTACAAAGCAGGGGACTTAGAGGTGTAAGCTATGGGTTGGCTTGCGGATGGCGTCGCAACAGCACAAGATTATCAAGGTGGTCTTTACGTTTAAGAGAGATTAATCTTTTGCTCAATTTCGATCATACTTGCGAGATGAGACTTTCTCTTCAATCTTGTTCCGTTCCCCTTAGCTACCTTACCTACCTACACAGTAACAGGGTGCACGAAGGTACATTTGCGATGTGAAGATCATGTGACGTTCATATAGTCACGTGATAACGGCAAAGCTCCGGGACAGGGATCAGGTAGTGGGACTGTGACGCCTCAGCTGTGCCGGATCAACGTCAAGGCGACCAACATCCGGAACTTGCGCCTTCGTCACCCACGCCCAGCCTTACACCGAAGCAGACGACAACCGCCGACGAACAAACGCACGCGCGGCCCGATCCATCCACTTCGCGATATACCGACGACACTTTACTTCTCTCCACCAAGAGCATCGACTGCTCGAGAACACTCCCGACGAAACACGCCCAGATTCCCCGCCCGCCCGATTCGTCTACAACGGTTTCGCAGACGGGAAGCTATCTTCAGCTAAGCGCTTCCGAACCTAACTACACCCCAAAACCCAATCCATTCATCACCACATTCGCAGCTATGGAGGAGGAACGCCTTTGGAAGTTCAGCAAGCCAGAATGGCTCAACAGCGCTTGGGCTCGTAACTTTGGCGTCTACGGTGCCGGAGCTCTGGTAAGCCTGTCCTTCTCTCTCCTGCCTGATGGTCCCCCGCCAGTATCCGTCGTAGGATAGCATATGAAGGAACATCAGCTAGTTCCCTTCTCCCAATAACCCCCTGTACAAAAACCACAGGAAACAAAGGATGATTCAAGAACCTTGCTAATCATTCAACCCCCAGTTCTCCATCGCCTTCTACGTCATGCTCGACTCCGCCGTCTGGTCAAAGTCAGCCCGCAACGGCTCCGACACCCACGTCACCTTTGTCGACTGGCTGCCCCTCATCTTCTCCTCGCTCGGCATGCTCATCATCAACTCGGTCGAGAAGGCGCGCCTGTCGGCCGACAGCTTCTCGTATAGCGGCAACGGCGTCGCGTGGAAGGCCCGCGTCGTGCTGTTCCTCGGCTTCGCCGCGCTGGCTGGCGGTATGGCCGGCGGCGTGACGGTGTTTGTGCTCAAGTTTGTCGTGCAGGACGTTGCCATGCCGGCGCTGGGCATGGGCATCGAGAACGTTGTCGCGAATGCGCTCGTGGGCTTGAGCAGCGTCGTGCTCTGGATCAGCCAGAATATGGAGGATGAGTATAGCTACAACCTCGCTCTGTAAGGGGGTTTGGTAGTCAGTAATACGGGGACTGGCTGGTCTGGATGGAAGAGTCATCCCGAGACTATGGCATGGACCCCTCGGTATGGATGAACCGAGTTGGTTTATCCAGAATGGCTGAAGATTGTATGAATCGGGTGATTCGGATCGCGGGTGTATAATTATAGCACTGAGGGTACTGTGGCGCATGGGTTTGACATTGGCGGCATGGCTATAGTCTACTTTATTCCCTTTATTTGAGCCTTCTTTTCGCAGACTCCTCTGTCTCTGATCTATTTCCCGCGTCTCAGGTGCTGCCGAGATCGTATACTTACTCTCCAATTCATGGAGACAAGCGCCGTTGCGATCGTCACACTTGGGTGCATGACAAGCAGTCACCAAAGTTCAAAGGTCAACTTCGGCCTGACTGGCTTATCTACTTCTCACAGCGATGTCTGATCGCAAATGACACCAAAGATTCGAGGGATCCTGGCAGCTCCTTTAGTTCCGACGTAGGTGCAGGATAATACGTTTGATCTTTGCCCGAGGGACTAAACTCTACAATAGGAATCGGAGAAAAGTAGCCAGGGAAGATTCTCGTTCCTTGACAAGGAACATCGACCCGAACTCATCCTCACTTTTGGGCACGAGGGACAGAGATTGTCGCGTATCCACGACCGTGAGCGCAAAACTAGGCAGGCGGGTGCCGGCTGGCCGTATCTTCATCAAATTCACATAAGGTGCGTACCAGACCTTCATCCGATGAATACCATACACAGGAAGGAAGACTATATACCCCCCCCCTCCCCCCTCAATCCCATTGCCGTCACCAGCCAGCAGGCGCCCGTCTAGGTCGGTGGGTCAGGTCAAACTGGCTGCCTGGTGGAATAGTCCAAGGTCGACAATCAAAATCGTCAACCAGCCTACTCGACGACAGGCTTAGCGTATACGAGTACCCGAGTTCGAATCCCAGCATGAGCACCGAGACATGTAGCCACACCAGTGGTGAACTCTTTTTTGTTTTTTTTGGGTGAGCGTATTTTTCTTGCGTCACGGCGTTATGAGAAATAGTATTTCGACTTGGATGCTTTGATTGTATTACGTTGTTGCCTCCAAGGAGGTTGTTGGTTGACTTTTGTACTAGTCTTATATTGGGCGTGTGTACTGAGGGCTGCTTTCTGGCAAGGAAGACGTCTATCCCGTCGACGGATCGCGGTGGTCGTACTGGTGGTCGTCAAGGGACTGTTTCGTAGGTGAAATACACCCTGTCCTAAATCTTCATTTAGCCTAAGTAAGCCCCTTACACCGTTACTGATGAATTTATTAGTTCGGGTGTTGTAAGCGGCTTCAACTCGTGATAGTCTCGAGGCCAGGGCATTGCTTCGAGCCCCATCAAATGAGCAACAAATGTTTAGTTTGCCAGTGAAATCCGTTTCCTCCATGCGCCACAACAACGGTCTCCTCGTAGTTTTACGTCACTGGTATTTACTGTACCTGGGTCAGCTAGGTATACCATGGCAACATTCACTGGAGTATCTGGAATGGAACCAGAAGTTTCAGCAGAAAAGGTTACTATATGTCGAGCATCGCCATGCTGTACGTATACGTGAGCCGCCTCTCGTACACGACCATCTGAGTCTGGAAAAAGCGCAAATTCACGTTGCTGGATGTCTTGTACATGCACCTTGATTAGGCAGACAAGTATAAAGATCTAAAACAAGCATCTTAAACTACATCTATGCAAGAAGTTCATAAAGCAAGGGAGCTGCCCGGTTCCTCTTTCTCTGGTGCCACACACGCTTCTGAGTTTGCTGCCTCCCGCCGTTGCAGGCCAAATACCAAGGCAGCATCAAACGTGACTTGCTGCCGTTTTGGATAGCCCGGCACAGAATTCAGGGGATATGTTGTGTGGCGAAATGATCATATAAAGAGAGACTGTGGGTGCTCTCATTGTACAACTCCACGGACTCTCCAAGCGAGTTTTCGGAGTAGTGAACTCGGAGAGTTTGGTCCTTTTTGGTCATGAGGGAATGGGTTTCCATGTGTTTACGTCGGTCACGTTGTGATTAGGAGAAATTCCAACACGCTGCCACTGTCCTCTCACTTCGTTCATAAGTGAATTCCATATGGGATCCCATTTGGGTCACAAATAGCGAAGGGAAAGCGAATGCCGCGATTACTAGATAGTCTTTATCATTGATCAAACATCATGAGTTTACCGCTACAAGAGCGTCGGCCGTTGCCCACGCAGTAAACAAAAGGTGCTGCCCACGGTCTGGAACTTCGACCTCTCGACAATCCAATCGTCCTGGTGGTAAAAGAAGTCCCGCGATAGACGTCTCCGCGCCTTTTCATGTAATTTTCTGTAATGACTGAAAGCTAAAGCGGCCTGCAGAGCTCCGGGCCTAGTATGTCTATCGAGCAGTCAACATCATAAAAACCCTCCTCTTGTTCTTCTCCAGAGGCATTTTCTCCACATAATTACCCGCCGCGTAGACAGTCACATCACGAAGAGATCAGCACGCAATGATAACACCTTGCTCCGCGAAGGACAAACTCGCAGTTTGGACACACGTCGATTTCCGGTGTAAGGTAGGCCCGTCTCGCCTTTTATGCTTTAGAGTTAGTAACTAGTAGGGAATAAAGCCTGGATCCGGGTCATATGAGTAAAAGTTTAACTCATTACGAATTACCCTTCTCTTCCATGGATTACCTCAGGAATGATCAACGGCTAGAAGTATACGACACTGAACGATTTAGGTGAAACCATGGTTATCCCACGACTGATACATTGCCTCCCCCTTCGCTATACGTGCCCATTAACTCCGAGGCTGTGATCTGCCTGGAGATCTGCCTAAAGTTCGTCTTCTGACCACAACAGCGCCGATACTATAACCAGATGTGCAAACGCAGCCTATGGATATCTATATGTCATGGCGCGGGGCGTCATGGAGGGAGTTACAGCTTCGGCGACGGCGCTCCAGATGGAAACCGAGTCTCAAAGTTGAGTTGAAGAAGACGAAACGGGTTGATACACGCTCATGACTTCAGTTGTGCCCACGAGCTGTTCTCCCTGACAACAATGGATCGGGCTTAGAACAAAACGTACCAAAGGGAGCGGAACTGGCAATCAGCTACTGTTCGCAATGACTCCCATGAATCAAACAAGGAATGACAGGAGACAAATTATTTCCAACATGACAAGCCGACAGAAAGCTTGTATCTCGGATGAGCAGGCAATGACTCAGTCCATGAGTGTTGAGGAGGATGGTATCCAGTATAAAAGTATAATCGAACCCCCATCTCGCCCACCGCCTAGTTGGATTCAATAAACATACGTATCGTAACCTTGAGATGGAAAACACCTGAAAAAGCTGGTGCGTCACGCGTGGAGGGATCATAGAATTCTCTATAACCACATCATGTCTTGATTTCTTTCATCGGAAAGGACTCTACATGGTGCTACGGAACTGTATCGTGGTCTATCTCAAGGTGTGGCTCATACCTTATTGAGGACTACACTCCAGGCAAACCCAAAAAAACATAAAAGCCATCAAATCGTTCCAAATTCCTCACCTTCCCCTTATGGAAGGCTCCAGATAGGAAGAGCTCACAGCATCGATGGTCAACGCACGACATCTCGATGACCAGGGGGATTCCAACAAACCGGAAAGCACCTCACAGCTCCCCGACGCTTACACGGAAGACGGACAGCGCAACCCCGGGAGTGAAGCGTACTATCTGCTCCACAACGCTTCCCTCCTCAGTCGTGAGCCCGGCGTGTAAATGGCACTCGGAGGCCCTGAAATGGGCACCACCGCAGGGGCTTATCGAAAACCTACCCAAAAGCCTCAGACCCTCCGCGGGCCGGCCCGAACAAGAAGGTGAACCGTCGACGAGGAAAACCTCCGACGACTCCCGGTCATGGACGGGTTGGGCAAGGCTGCCGGCCCGAATCAGTGTCCCTGGCCCCCCCACGCCCACTTCAGACCCCTGGCTCCCGCTTGAGAGTCGAGCGTGTTTGGGGGCGTCCGCCTTCTCAAGATACGTCGACGAGACACTGAGCTATATCCAATTCGGCATATACAGCGCAGACTAATTCGTAGAATCCTAGCAATGTAGCAAAGCTTTGGAACAATTTCGGACTTTCTATGAGTAGAAAAAAGGACACTCTAATCAATACTCTAGCCAGACACTTGTCTTGGAAACACCGCAAATCAGTTCTCCCGTACCTGCGCCGTGGCACGGCTTTGGTCGGGTGGCTGTTGTCTCGTTCAGAAGAATCGAAAAATTCGGTCAACAATCAGGCGGTGAAGAAAGACTGAAAAAGAAATTTTTGTTGGGAAGCCGGAGAAAAGGAAAAAAAAAAAAAAAAAGGTTCTTCGACAATCTCATCGCGCCACCCCTCTCGAGAACCCGTCGGTGAGAGGCCGGTCAGCGTTTGCGCACCGACAGAGATTTTTCTGGCGTTCAGACATGCAGGCGTTGAAACATGTTGCGCTGTCAAATTTGTATTATTCGCGCTCCCGGGCCTGCAGAACCCGTCCGTCATCGGCGGATGAAAGAGAGACAGAGAGAGACAAAAAAAAAAAGCTGCTTTGAACCCAGGGTCCGCCTCCTGCCGATCCTGTTGGGCGGGAGATGCGCCCTTAGACCGGCGGCGTGCGTGAGAAGGCTTGCTGTGAGGTGCCACGACAAAACGCGGCTCGAAGGCGGCGATGGCGGCGACACGAGCGTCCCCAAAGCCCGTGGAACGATCTCATTCAAACAAAGGAGCCGCCAGCTGACTTCTCCGTCTCTCGGACCAGCGACCTGGGCTGATCTTTACTCTATGTATCGCAACAACAAGCAAGGCCCGCCTGACGACGCTCGCATCAGAGGTCTCACCGTTGTTTGGCAGAGAAACAACCGGCCATCAATCTGGAACGAAGACCTGGTCGTCTCTCGAGAACAGTAACAATTGAGGTCGTTGGGAGGAAAGAGTTGAAGATTTCACATCGAGTGAAACAGGATGCCATTGGTACGAGTCACTGGGACCATCTGGACGGGCCGCTACAGCTGCTTTCCGGAAAGGCTGACGGTGTCCTGCAGCGAGGCGTCCGAGGCAACTCGATGATGCAGGTGAATGAAACATTTTTGTGGTTGTGACACAAAGCTCTGCAGCACAACATCTCTTAACACCAGAGCAGACCAACCATGCCGCCATCATCCATGTAGCGTGCCGTTGCAAGGTTGACTTTGGAGGGTCGTGATACGGATTTAGCTCAGCATGCAGGTCACTCGAAAGAGGTGAGGCACAGCAACTCGCAGGCACCCATTGAAGATGGATTGCTTCAAATGTTCCCCAAGCAGACCGGTAGCTGATCTTGCGGTGGCGGGCTGGCTGGCTGTGACCCATGGCCGGACTGGCGATCTCTCCGAGAATCTGTCACGAACAAAACCAGGTGGGTTTCTGCAAGATGCTTCGTCAAGGACAAGATCATCGATGTGTCGTACGATGCGAGCCAATGCCGGGCCTCGTGCGTGTAATACGCAAGCCCATGTCAATGATGATGGCAATCCGAGATGAGAGAGAGGGAGGCGCCTTGGGCTCGCCGTCAGATGATGAGGCGTTGAAGGTTGCTGCATTGCTACAATGTCGAGTTGGTGTGTACATCCTCAACATCTTGGCCACCATCAGTTATGATAGAATTTTCAATAGTGAATATGCACGTACCTGGCTGAAGACCATGGACCTGATACGGCAAGGCAAACTTACAGATGCCCATGCAAAGTTGACCGAAGTGGGATTTAAGACGGGCGTCTGGTTGGCGATCTTGCCGAGCAAAGACACTGCCCGGCAAAAGCCTGGAGACGACTTGCTCTTCTTCTGTAAAGATCAAAGGTTATCAAAGTGACCGTTGCATTGCAGGGCCCACTCGGCAACATGTCCTGCCTCGTGCACAATTGCAAGAGAGTTACATCTGACGCATGCTGTCAGAATAGCACCGTTCCGTCTGATTACGCATTCGCACACCTTGCTAGCGGCGGTCGGTGAGAAAGCAACAGCCGCCGAATGATCCGGGCTTTCTGCAAGGATACACACACCGAAATGCTCGGTGGCCGTCGGAGATACGTCGAGGGATCTCAAGACCTTAGTGCAGCCACAAGTTAGGACTTGCAACTCGCCATTGTTGGTAGTATTCGAGCCCAAGGCGTATTGAAACAGTCCAAGACTCGAAACTTGCCAACTTTTGAGCCGCTGTTTGGCTACCTTGAATTTGTTTGCCACTGACAGCCTCGAGATTTATAAGACTTTCGCCTCAAAGTGACACAAAGCTGAGCTGCATCCTGAATGTCTGAATCCAGAGATTACCGGTATGATGGTATCTCCTATCAAGGTCAATGTTCCCATGTCACATGGTGTCGAAAGGAAAGTTATCGGATCTTTGGGTGTACTGTTTGTAATGGCGGATCATTTGGCAGTATTTGTAACCCATCCATTGGCACGGGCAGTCATGGTAACTAGCCGGCCGCTGGAGATGGGTCTCTGATGCTTCCCCGGGGCCCTCACCGATGATAATTCGGGCATGGATTTGTGGGTAAGAAGTCGAAAAGACCAGGCATGATTCGACTACTCGGCACACCAAGCGGTCTCAACCCCAGCGATTTCCCTTGCGGCTGCAGGCGGCCGTTGCAACTTGGCATACCCATGGTTGAGGGATGAGGTCTGGTGACGATCCATCCAATGGTGAGAGCCGCAAAAATTGCTTTGACCAAGTTCATGTCTGTGCGGCAACTAGCTAGCAATCCGGGTCTGTTGTTCTGCAGTTGGGTCGGGATGTACTGAGATCTCTCCACTCGCAACCGAGAAAGGGTGTGACGAGAGGAGGCAGGAATAACATCGCCCACGGGACGACAGCATGCCTCTTTTCTTGCAGTAGGCTGGCCATCCTATGGCGCAACATTGTCCTTTGGAGTGTTTGAGGACCCACCATCTATCGACCGTGTGACGGGACAAGTACGTTGCGCGGTTGCTTCGGTCTTCGAGTTTCGCAGTACCTGGCCCGGAGATAGCAAGCGTAGGCCAGAAGCCTGTTGAGTTGCAATACCTGTAACTCTGTAGTATCGACGTCCTTCTCTTTTGTCACATATCTTTTCTTTCTCCAACGGGTAATTTGGAAGGGTTTCATCGGAATTCTGAGTTTTACGGCAGAATGCCACGTTGGAGTTCAGCCACGCGAACGACGAGCGGCTTTCATGGACCGCTTGCCGTCCGTTGAGTGCGCCATCCCATGAGCAACGTCTTCAACCCATGCCCCTGGCCCTTCCCGATGGAGGCTAAGTAGGTTGGCGGCGGGATGGTTGAAATGCTACACTATGGCCAGGAAGCCTGGAAGCCATGCGGCTGTTGCGAAAGGGATGCGGTGACGAGATGTAGTGCATTACCGCTCGGCTCAGGAATTCAGAGAGGGCCTGGCAGGCCAGTCAACGGATGCGTGGCAGGGGGGCCGACATGGGAACTCGCACACGTCTTAGTCCAACTACAAGCTCTGTCTGTGCGCCTCAACCAACAGGAATGGAACCCCCTCTCCCCCAAAGATGGCCTGCAGGACATTGAATGCAAGTCAAACAAGTCTGTGACCCAGCGCGCGCCTCTCTACTGCCGTATATTGAAGCTGTGTGCTTCCAGGGACGCAGACGCAGACGCGGACGCAGTAGTCAATCCAAACCTTGAGGCTCACGTGGTCGGGAAAGGGCATCGGATCGAACGTATGAGATAAATAGGCAACCCAACGCAAAGGTCGAGTCGGCGTCGGTGGCGGGCCAGCCATGGTAGCCGAATGATGATCAGCCAGTCGCTGCGAACCCGAATGTGACTTTGAGGACGACGGGAGCTCGTGGTTGCCAGTTAATAACGCACCGTAGGGGCGGATTCTCTCGACGGAGGCGGGCGATAATATTGGCCAGATCGGCCGACCAATCCGGGCGGCGACGACACGGCTGCAGGGACAAGCCAACGAACTACAGCGACTGAGAAGGCGGGGATTAGTCAGGCCAGCCCACAGCTTTTCAATATGGTGCTTCATGCCGTATTGAAGGCTAGGCCAGCGGAGAGACAAGGTACGTCGCGATTCCTGAGAGGAGTGTGCCAGGACTGGCTGGCATACTTGACTGGCAATGGCGAGGTACGTCGTAGAATTGACGCTGTCAGCCCGAAAAGCCTTCAGGGCGAGCGACAGAGAGAGAAGACTGCGCGAACTTTATGGCACATTGCGGCTTATGTGAGGCTAAAATTCCCTCCGTCCGCGTTTGTCAATCGTGTGGTCACTGGTCCGTATGCCCGCGTCGCCCGTTCCTTCGGAGGTTTCATTTCGGCAGCGACAGGGCACCGAGCTGCAGACTGGATGCCGGGACGGAAGAGGGTCACCGTTGGTGTGAGAGGTATGCGTACATGTGGTGGGTGGGTGGTGGACATTGCTGGATGGGAGGCTGCGCGTTCGATGACGAAGAACAATAGCTAGGCGCATGGATGAATCTCGGTTGCCGTAGCAGACTTTGGTCGAATCTCAGGTCCTCTTTGGAGACGGTGCAGTGAGCTGATTGAGACTCGAAGAGGAGCTGAGCTTCAAACACACGAACCCCTTGGCGAAGGAAGCTGACGACGTTGACAACCTGTGCTGGGTTTGTTCAAAGTAAAGTCTCAATGGCCGAGGTGGTAACAAGAGCCTAGGTGCCTTTAGCCGACCTCTGGGTGGTGTGTGTAGTTGTGAGAACTTTGAAGTCTCACAGTGAGCCGCTGCCCGCATGGTTGGGTTCACAATGTCTAGCTTCCTTTTCCTGAATCCTGGGAAGCTGCGTGCGTGCCGGCCGGTCTAGATGTGTCCCCTGATCATTGAGGCTCCTCGTTGCGTGGTACGGTACGGTACGGTACGGATACAGCTCCTGTTCGGCCGTGGTTGCCAATGACACCTGCCACGATCCACGGGGAAATGCCCCTTGCGGCTGGTCGTGTTGAGCTCGCCTCGCTAGAACGGCCGGACTGAATAACATGACTATCGACACCGGGGCGGGGGGAATACCCAGCAAAGAGGAGCAGCTCAGGAGCAGGAGTAGGAACATGAGCTGGAGCCCTGGATGCGCCTAGAGTGCCAGGCAAAGGATAAAAAAAATGATCAGATGCTGCTGACCTCTGGTGGTCCAGGTGAACCTAAAATCCATCATTAGCGTCGCATGAGAAAGGTCATGAGACCTGTTTGTATCCAGAAAAAGACAGACCGAACCCTGGGGGGGCTGCGGCGCAGGACGGGTTCAGGTAGAGAAGTGCCTTTGCTAATAGTTCCCACAGCCCACCACGCTCCGCTCCTCTTTCCTCCACAAGGGGCCCAGCCAGCCCACTGCACCTGAGGTGATGGGGGTGCAAGCCCGCAGTCTGCAAGTTAGCGAAGGGATATCTCTCTCCGTATAGCATGGTAAGGTACGGAGTATGTACGGACAGGCTTGCTCGTGGGCTGTGATGTGTGTTTTTGTCTTTCCAGAGTCCCTTAGGTTCCATTCCTTCCTCATAAGTTTTGCATCCATAGGAAGGCAGGTATTTTGTGTTTGCGAGCCCCTCCTTCCCGCCGTTGAGCTTTGGCCCTGGACTGCCATTGGATGACAGACAGTCCGCTGCTGGCGGCCGGCCTGTCTAGCACTCCGTACCTAAGGTGACGAGGTGAATGGAAGCATGTCACATGCATCGAAAGCTTAGGTAATGATCCATCGTCGAACCTGCCCTACAGGGTACGGATACAGCATGGCAGCAACACGCGATTATATGGAGCACGTGGACAAGGGCCCTTGAGCCAAAGTGACGGCGTGACGAGAACAAATCGCAGGCCTCTTGCTGGAGTCCCGGAAAGGCGCCAGCGAGTCGTAACCACCAAATCACAATTCCCAAGCACCCAAGTTGCTTCCAAGTTACCAGAAAGGCAGACCAGCCGAAAAAATAGACCCGCCGTTGCTTGCTGGATCCAGGATGTTGGTCAAGAGGCTCAAGAATCCATGCGCTTCAAGGCTGCATGATTCAACAAGCTTGCCCATCCAGTATCCAGTACGGAGTGCTCCTTTCTCGACTCTCAGTACCTTAGTTAGTACTTCGTACTCCGTACTGCTTTTGTTATTATGCTGCTGCAAACTTTGGGCGCACGTTCTAGGTACCTTATTGAAGCCCAAGCCCCAAACAAGGACCAGGAGCTTGGACCGTGCAATGACGTAGGAGTCTCTCATCAACATGAGGCATTCGCAAATAGACCAGCTGTCATTAATTGCTGCATCGTTGTAAGCATCGTCAGTAAATAACACATCCAACTGTAGTTGTCCGCTTGACATGATCGGATGCTAAAGAGGTGACAGCGCATCTGCTCACCCAGATGGTTGTGGTGGCTTGCAGCCGTAGCGCACTAATGCCGATGTCCTCGCGACAATCAGATAGACGTTGGACGAAACCAAATCTGTGTTGGCTCGACTGCGCAACCACCAAGTAGTCGGACGAATGAAAGCCATGCCCATGCAAAGTCAATGGCTTTGATGGCCCCTGTACTCGGTGCAAATTCAACCATTGTCAATCCAGTGTGGTCATCTTGGCTGTCGTTGTCGTTCAACTTCATCGTTGACTCGTAGCTGGCAACGTCGCTTGCGAGGCCTACCTAGCGGCTCTCACATCTCGATTGCGGCAAGGGAAGACACAGAACCAGAAGGCAGATCCTACTCTGCTGTCACGCCAAGGGTTGACGGACCTGGGCAATGGCAACCGATTCGCGCGACGACTCCACTTGGTTGTTAACAAAGAGCATCCGCTCATGGGAATTGGTGTCATGCTGTGCCTCCATCAACTACTGTACTGTACTTGGTCCGTCTTGCTAATGTAGTGTTGCTGCGGTACTTCGTAAACGACTTTGTGGTCCTGGAGAAACACCAACTTCACATTCGCGAGCTCCAGGCTCCACCCTCTCGGCCCCTCCTCAACGAGACGCGAGCCACAACCACGACTCTTGCTGGGCTCACTGCCCCGCACTTGGCCGTTTCCTCCACACATGGGAACGTCGTCATAGGACCTTTCAGACAAGTCTCTTTGGCGGGGTTGGGGCCCTAGGGGGGACATGGCAATGTCCAAGGAGGAGTGGGAGGATCCAGCAGCACAGGAACCCAGAGCCACAACAAATGCAGAGTTTCCGTGGACTTTTGAGAGAGAGGGAGAGAGTTCCAAAAGTCCACATCTGGGTTTCCCTGAGACTCTTTGCCTATCCCATGGACGGCGAGATGCGCAAAATCCCTTTGCTTTCCCCTTTTCTCTCACCCCTTCTTTGCTGTTGGCCGCCCGCAGCAGGGCACGCACCAAGGCAAGCCGCAAACCGCAAGCCACGGAAGCTCTGACCATTGATTAGTACCAGCTCTATCCCTTCCCATCAACCCAGCCGTCCGCTACTCATCGTAGCTCGGCGAGGTTCAACCCAGTGACTGCATCCCTGCTCTTGCATGTCCAGACGGCCGAACAGACTGTCAGAAACGACCGGAGCGTCCTGGACCCCATTCGAGTGCAGAAAATATGCGGCGGGCGAATCCCAATATAAAAGAAAGCATGATGTGAAAACTCTTTGTCCACCCACAGCGCCGCGTGAACAGGGGGCTCTGCAAATCCAAGCCATCCACAGGCTAGATTCCTGGAGTCGCTGGACATGTTGCTGGCAACTAGCTGTCGCCAAATTGGCCGTCAAGCTGCTTGAGATGTAGAGAGAACAATTCGCAAGGTGGTGTGTAGATGAGCCTGCCCTCCTGCAGGTAGCCAAACCTCCATCGGTTGTCGGATGTGGCGACTATGAACTGCAAGATTCTGCGATTGCCTTGACACTATATTGATCTTCCGGATTGGGAGTGTCGCTGTCAGTGCGAGTCCAGCCGAGTCGAAGGCGCCATGTCGTTTCCACGCATGGCTGACCCGGAAGGGTCTATTGTTCTCTGTCTTATTGGGAAATCTAGTCGATTCACAGTGAACATTGAATCTTCAAGGCAACGATCAAAACATCTCGTGCGGCGTCCAGGAGGCGGGCAGGGCCATTGGGACTATGGCGGGCCGCGGAAGAAATTGAAGTCGGGTTGGAAGAACCGTGCGAGTGCCTATTGGACCCTGCAGAATCGGGGCCGCTCAGCAGGTCGGTCCTGAGGCGCATTGGTAGCCGGCTACGCAAGATGCTAAGGTAGTGCGTGCCTTAATCACATCGACTTGTCGCGCGTCGTGTACTAGGATGATACACGTAGAAGACCCAGCAGGTCAGCTGGCCAAAGGTACCCGGCAGTACCCTAGCGAATGACAGCGGATTAGTGGACACGGCCCGTTTTGGTCCAAGGTACGGCAGCGTATGTGGGATGAGCAATCTACGAGGGCTGGGAAAAGAGGGGGTTCTGGCACGTACATGATGGAAGTGTTATGGGTGATAATGGAGGTGAAAGGGAGTTGGCTGCTTCAGCATCCATCTCAACGGTAGATGTCAAGGAAGTATTCGTAGGCAAGCAAGGCAAGACAGGCAAGGTAGTACTAAGGGGAGGCAGGGGCAGTTGCTACTACCTAAAGGTACCCCTCCTTACCTTACTGACAGTCCGACGGCGTCTCGAAGAAACTACCAGCCTATTAGGTAAGAAAAGTAAGTAAGGTAGGTAAGTAGAAGGTTCCTTGGGTTTTTATCCTCAACCACTCGGGCTTGCCTGCCTGCAAAAGCCGCACCGAATGTTCTCTCGAGATGCTGTAACTACAACTAGATTATCATGAATGTGTTGGAAAGGTTCGTGACAAGTCGATTCTTTTCTTTACTCTTCCCACTTTGTCTACGGAGTTTACAAATGGGAGACCCAGTCCGAACCCAAGTTTCTCTTCAGGTAGGCACGCAGATGCATACTACCTCATGTGCCTGCGTGCGTGCCTACCTTACCTCAGGTACTTGCTGACCACATCGGGTACAGAGTACTTGAAGGTATAAAATCAACTAAGGCAGAACGAGTGAAAGGCCGTGGTATCTACTGTGCCACCTACCTTACCATGACGGAAGGCACATGTGTACTTGAGGTAGGTAATCTGTAAGGTGGTAGCTTCCATTGAGAAGAATAAGACAGAAGAGTACGTATCCAAATGCTCGTAATTGGCAAGACCTGGGCAGGTGGGAAACAGCACAGGTACATACTGAGGCAGGCCCGGTTGACAGGAGCAAACAGGGAGGTGCACATCCATTGGGTTTTTGACTTCCGCTTGCCGAGTTTTAGCGCCTGCCTCCCCGTCTCAAAATGAGCACATGAGCAAGCCTGGTGCAGCGGGTCCTTGTCTGGAGACGACGAGGGGACGACAATGAAAGGCTAACCTGGAACCATTCGAACTGCGTGTCCCGCCGGTGCTCGGTCCCCACTTCACCAGAGCTCTGGACTCAGCCTGGACTGTCTCTGGACTCTACCTCCAGGGACTGTGTAATAAGTTAGACTCGATAAGTGTGCCGAGATGCACACAGCACGAAGGAAGGAGCATTCATTTGATCTGCTCTTTACCCGTTGTGGGCGGGCCAATTTATTGACTTGAGTTGATGACTCTGCTCACTGTTTACTATTTAGCGGCACTCTCGGTCGATCAAGTTCCAGGATCAGGTACCATAGGTAAGGCACTTTGAACTCCATGTTAACTTGGATTCTATCTCGTGATTTTCCTGGGCGCCTATATGCTGTATCTTCTGACCAAAGCTCGTTCATTGCAGGTTGCTCATCACTGCTTGCTTGGCCTACTCCGAGCTTACAATCATTGGCAAAGTAGGGCAACGATGTTAGTTCTAACAAAGTGCCTGGGTTACCTACTGCCCGACCTTGTCTGGCTCAGTTGTCTCCAACCTGCCTCGAGCAAAAGCAGCGTGCCGTTGATCATCTCAAGGTTTGACTTGAGTCGAGACTCGACAAAACCATACCATCTGGCACTGCAACGCAACAACCCCCAGTGCCAAAGTTTGAAAGCTCTTCAGTATTGAAGTACTGTGGTTCAAACAACACTCTGTCCGAACCGCACGCAACCTTGAGCTACTCTCCGGCACCTTGAGCACGGCACGCCGCACGCCGGCCTACCTTGCTTGATATCCTGGAGACCTCCGCCGCCCCTCTCTTGACCCCGCGTGGCCTGCTCCTTCGAGAATCGTACCCTCACGTTCTCGGCGACATGCCCTGGACTACATCACTTGATTTGACTAACAATGTAGTTCCCATTCTGTATGGACGGGGATGTGGTCTTCGCCATCTTACTGTCTATTCGGGTTAATGCTCAATCTCGATTGTGGTTTAGGTGATCAGGCTGGGGCCTCTTATTGCCACTTCCGGGAGCCGCTTCATCGTGTCAGTCACTTTATGATACAGGCCTTACAACCTTGAGGAAGCAGTCAAGCAGTCCATAGAGTTGACAAGTCTGAAGTTCCTCCAGTTACTTGCCTGCTTACCTTCTTTCAAACTATCACAGTTGACACTAAATAATGTCGAGCCCGTGCTCTGTTCACCCCCAGGATTGTGGGCAACTCAGGCACCAGGCAGACAATTTGGCGATGATGGCATCGCGAAGAAGGCGGATGAAGAGAAGGAAGTCCGAGAAACAGAGTCCGTGTAAGATTTATCTTGAGGGGCGTCTACCTTAATTGTACGTACATGACTTGATAGTAGGATAAGGAGAATTGTCGAATACAAAGGTGATGGCGTTGTCGTATTCTGGCAGAGTCATACTAGCCGCGGCAAGTAGCAACGATGAGGTAAGCTACTTAACTAGGTACCTTGCCTTGGACGACGATGATGTCTTCAATTCATTTGGCCTATGCATTTTCTGGTGCATTTTTATTTAGTTGTGCTGTGTTTTATTGATTTTCCCTCCCCTTCAGACTGTATCTCAGCACCCCAAGGCCCAGGCGCCCAGGTAAGAAAGCATGGTAGGTAGGTAGGTAGGTCACCCCCCCCCCCTTGTCCCAGTCACTGGACTTGGGACGCACTCCGTCATTCCTCGTCCAGCTGCGCGCGCTAGTCTGCCCTGCCGTGTGGTCCGCGAGGCCTCGAGCCCAAAAGGCAAAGACCAAAGAACAAGACGCACAATCCACCCCCCGGGCTGCGGGCTGCGGGCTGCCCCTCTTTCAAAGTACCTCCCTACCTCTCCCCTACCGTGCCTTCCTTACCTTACCTTGCCTACTCCGTACTCCATCCACGTCTCCACCACCGACCACTCCTTCCCACCAACCAACCCACCTCGCGTTTCTCTAAACGGCGTGACAACATCCTCTTTCTCCCACCTCTTGGGTACCCAACCTGAACTTCACCAAACCTCCCCACCCCCCGTGCATTGCTCTTCCTCTTCTCACCTTCAACTGGCATTTCGCCTCGACTTTCGCCGTCTCCAGTATACAGATACCTCCACGCAAAGCTTCCCCCCTCAGCTACCCAGCCATTACACCCATCTGTCCTCGAAACCACTTCGGTTCCAAATCTCACGATCCTTCTTCGCCGCCCGAAGAAGCACTGTCTCCCGTCTGCCCATCCGCACCGCACCCGC